CACCAATCTCCCGTGGCACCCTCGATCTGCAGTTCGGCGCAAGCCATCTTATGCGCCTCAGAAATACCCATAATACGAAAGATCCGCTCCATTTTGCGGATCCAATCGGCCACGGCTAGCGGGCCATTCTCCCTTGAGAAACGGGGCGAATGATAGGTGCGGAATCGGCTGACCACATCAGCCTGGTCCTGCTCGACTGCTACTTGAGGATCTCTGCGTGTCGGCATTCTGGAGATCCAAAAATACTTGAATTGATCAGTATATCCACTTAAGAAATAGCCATACTAGACTTGAGATAAACAATAAAATCCGGAAACACCTAGCTTGGCTAGAGTTCCGGTATACTTAAACTTTCTATGTTCTTGCTCAAAATGGAGTTCTGACTTAGTCTAGAGTCCTTGTACTTAGTTGTTCTAGAGTTCTGTCTAGAGTTATCTGTCTTACAGGAGGATAGTTATCTAGGCCCCATACTTAAACTGAATTTAGCACTTGCAAAACTTGAACTGAGTCAGGTGACTTACCTCGGAGTCGGTGTGGGATGAGCGTTGCGTGGTCATGCTTTTCTAACTTTGAAAGTATACAGAAATGCACTCTACGCTCTGATACCAGCTTCTGTCACACCCCGCCTTACTAGCTTTGAAAATCAGAGTAAAATTTTTGCTTTTATTTTTGAAAGGTCGTGCGAGCTTGGTTTTCGAAAATACTAACTGGTTGCGGGATGTCACGGACAAAAAACTTACTTAAATTGCTCACAGACATATATAAACATGCAACCAAACTATCCGTTACGGATAATGGAATTAAACATGCAATGTCTGAACTATCTCGCACTGTCCAGTCTGCTAGCGGAAGCATCTGAAATACAGAAAATACATACATACATATCCGAATAATACATGATCATAAATACTGGGACATAAAATGTGCATAAAAATGTCCAAGATTCTCATGACCACGCTTTGCCACGTCTGTGCTTATCCGGAACGCTCGACTCCGTCTCCTGAAAAACACAATGGGGGCGTGAGCAAACCACTATGCTCCGCAAAGACCAGTACGGAATAAAACAGCATTTATAATATCGTATCATGAACGTAAATATATAAGAGCTTAATCTGTAAACTTTCTCTTCTTGCTCTACTATGGTCAAAAGACCCTCGGCCCTTGGCCGCTTGTGTGCACACCCCGATGGGATATTAAGGCCCTTGGCCTCCATGGTTCCCCAGATGGGATATTAAGGCCCTCGGCCTCCACCTGGAGAAACTAACTGTCTCGAACATACCTCTGCCATGGTACAAATATTATATATGATGTGAAATCCAGTACATGACTG